CATACCTAGATGCACGTGTGTTGTGTTTATGCAGTGCAACTCCCACCCAGTGGGTGGCTATGTAGAGTGATAGAACAGAGCAGGCACGCCCCCGAGAGAAGGAAAGCAAGTCACGTCACAAATTAGCATTTCTAAAATGTTAGCGTGGATTAATAAAAGTGCAAAAAGACAGCGGTTGTCGCCGGAAGAAACTTCAAATACAGAGAATGCTGTGCCTGTGTTGGAAATTGTGTCTGATGGGGAGCTTTCTTTGGTTGATCCTCCTGCTCCAAGTTCTAGTGCATTAGCATTAGCTCCGCCGCCTCCTCCAGAGCCTCTAACGTTAGCTGCTGCTGGCGCAACTGCCACCACCAACACCGGGCAAAGCGATGCACCTGACTGCTGGACAACGGACCAGGTGCAATATTTTTGCAAGACCAATGCATGGCTCCTTCTTAAAGATAAGAAGCTAGGATGTCGGATATGCAGAGATGTCAAATCTTTGGGAATACACACTGGACAAGGACTGAAACTGTCAACTGAATGGGGTGAGTGTGCAGTGTCTCATTTCGGTGTTGACAAGGGCAAACAACAAGCTAGCCTGAGAAAAAAAATCAAAGAACATAAAGAATCACAAGCCCATGTAAAAGCTGCTGACATCCTTACATCTGCTTCACGTGAAACTATTCAACATCAAGTGCAGTCTATGCATAAATCTGAATTAGACACCACTATCAGAGTTTTTCGAACGGCATATAAAATTGGCAAACATAGCCGGCCATTCACAGACATGCCAATTGATTTGAATGTACAGAAACTGAATGGGCTGAACGTGGGCAGGGTTTTGCACTCCAATAAAACCTGTGGCGAAATCATCGACCACATAGCTCATGAGCTGAAGAAAAAAATGGCAAAAGACATTACAGAAAACCAAAGAAAACTCTGTGTTTTGGTCGATGAATCTACCACTATTAGTGGTAAAACGGTGCTTGTTGTGTGTCTACGCTCAGCATTAGCTGATGCTGAGCCCGAAACGTTTTTTTGGGAGCTGATCGAGTTGGATGGAACAACGGCTGATGACATCACAAAGGCGTTAATGGAGTGTCTTGGAAGAGATTTTAACGAGGACTTTTTAGGTCAGTGTTTCGTTTCTTTTGCATGTGATGGGGCTTCAGTCATGCTAGGGAAGAGAACAGGCGTTGCTACCCAGTTGTGTAGTAAATTCCCAAGCCTGTTTGTGTGGCACTTCTCCAATCATCGTCTAGAGCTGGCAGTTGGGGATGTGGTCAAGGAGGTCTCAGGGCTCAATCATTTCCAGATCTTTTTTGACAAACTCTATTCCTTGTTCCATGCCTCCCCCAAAAATCAGAGGCAGTTAGCGCAGTGTGCGCAAGCAGTCGGACAGCGTCTCCTGGTGATAGGGTGTGTTTTGTCCATCCGCTGGGTGGCTTCAAGTGAAAGGAGCGTCAGAGCAGTCTGGGAAAACTACCGAGTGCTTCATGATCACTTCACAAATGCTGCAAACGACACGAGCAGGGATTCCAGAGACAGAGCAAAGTACAAGGGCCTGGATGATGTGCTCACATCTGCAACGTTTGTCAGCAATCTGGGACTGATGTACGATGCGCTCACAGAGCTCAGCGACCTCTCTCGGCAACTCCAAAAAAGAGAGATGACACTGCCTACAGCAGATAGGCTCTTAACTCGAGAAATACGAGTTTTTGAATCCATGGTCACCATGCCTGGCCCACACATGACTACAGTTCATACAGCTCTAGCTGAGAAGTCCTTCAAGGGTGTTGCCCTGCGTGAGAATGGCAGGCTTGTACAGATTCATGCAGGTCAGTTTTTCCGCAGTATGGTAGAGAATCTGAGACACAGAATGACTTCCACAACCTCCTCTCATGTCAGCACAAGAGAAATCCCATTACATGGCCGGGAGGCCCGGGACAATCAGCTAATCCAGGACATGAAAGTTATCCATCCTGGAAGTTGGCCTGAAGAGGAGTTAGACGTACAGTATGGGACGTAGAGGTGCTACGTTTGTGCGAAGTGCTGAAAGTGGACAGAAGAGAGACTGTTCAGGGCTTTCGCGAATACAAGGAAACCAGGGCATCCCGTACACCTGCTGCCATGGAGCCTCTACTGAAAGCAGTCCGAACCATCGCTGTCTACACTAGTGAGTGTGAGCGGGCATTCAGCTGCATGAACGATATCCTTACTGCAAAAAGGAATGCTCTCTCTGTCAGCCGACTGTCCAGCCTGGTTTTCATTAAATGTAATGGACCATCACTAGGACAGTTCAATCCGGAACAGTATGTGAGGTCTTGGCTGGCAAAGGGAAGGAGAAGTGCTGATGAAAGAGCCTGTCCAGCTCCAGCCCCTGATACTGATGTCCCCAAGGCCTTCTGCAGCCTTTTCTAACAATGTGAAGTATATTGCAAAGCAGCTCACCCAGTGAGAAGACTTTTGGCATAATGTGCCGATTTGTACAGATCCTGGAGATAGAAGGACTTCAGACCAACCAGGGAGTTATCTGATCAGCTTGGTGTTCAATGTAACTCTTTACCATGGCTCAGACTTTGTTACTTGCAGTTACAGTTTCTCATTTTAGATTGTGCAAATTTTGCATTTGTTTTTACATGGTCTTTGTTCATGCTCTTTATCATTTTTCTGAGTTGGAAAGTTAGATTGCATCATAGTTTACTTTATACATATTTGTATTCTTCAGTGGTGAAGTATATTGCAAAGCAGCTCAGCCATGTGAGAAGACTTTTGGCACTTTTTCGTTTTCTGATTTGGAAAGTTAGATTGCATTCAAAATGTACAGAAATACTTAATTTTGTTAAAGCTTTTTATAAAAAATGCTTCTGACCAGAGCTTTGTTTCCTTGTCATTAATGTTGAACACCACCAGAGGGGCTCTCACCTGAAAGGTCTCTGCTTCATGTGTCTTCAGCAGAAGATCTAGACTTTGATTGCTATATTTTCAGTTAATATTGACCTTACTGAGCTTTAGCCATATCCGCTGCCTATCATAAAAAATGTTAAGTACAGTGAACCTTTCTAAAATATACAGTAGTAAAGAGACAAACCCACCAGCATTATAGTAGCCAAATTCTTGTTTGTGGGCTGTATATATAAAATTGACTTGAAAAAGTTGCTGATTTTAGAGTACTGGCACCTTTTTCATTCCAATTCAAGCACTGGTTGGGACCATAGGTTGGGACATATTTCGCTGTCGGGTGTTGACCAATCACGAAGCGTCATTTCTTGACTGGCAGCAAAAACAACCAATCACAGCAATGCTTCTCTGGCTGGCTCTGTCCAATCACAAACAAGAAGTGTTCTCCCTAAGGAATACCCTTTCCGTCCAATGTGAAATGCTGTGGCGTTTTCTGAAATGCTGTTGTGTTTTGTGAAATGCTGTGGTGTTTTCTGAAATGCTGTAGTGTTTTCTGAAATGCTGTGGTGTCTTGCACTTCAGGGCCACCGTACCATTCCTTATATGCAAATGAACGGGGCGTGGTTAGCTCACAGATCCGGACCAAAGCAACAGTACTCTTAAGTGGTTTGCAAACTGCCAATAAACCAAACCGGTTCAAGAACCATTCTTGTGCTTTTCTGGTGCTTAACTATGGAATGAAATTTAAGCCAAAATTAAATAAATAAATAATTAAATAAATACATATATATATAAATATGCCTATGAAATAAATTCTAAAATAAATAAATTAGGCAATACATATGTATACATGTACATTTAAATACACATTTATTTATTTCATGCGACTTTTATTTCATAATGACACATTTATTTATTTCAAGAGACTTATATTTCATAATGAGACATTTCCATTCCTTATATGCAAATGAACGGGGCGTGGTTAGCTCACAGGTCCAGACCAAAGCAACAGCAACACAACACTGACTCAATAGCTTTTGTTTCACACTCCAGTACTCTTAAGTGGTTTGCAAACTGCCAATAAACCAAACCGGTTCAAGAACCATTCTTGTGCTTTTCTGGTGCTTAACTGGTTCTTCTCTGGTCTTATCTGGTCTTATCTGGTCCGCCCAATGCTGCTCTTCTGAGAGCAACCGCTCTGACAGCTCTCTCTAGTCTCTACTGGGAAACAGCTAAAAGTCCTTCTGGAGGTAAGCAACGCTACACAATTACACCCAGTCTGAGAATAAAATATGTCTCGAAGGTTCGTTTTGCTTTCTTACAACATTAAGTTAATGTTAACGTAACCTTATGTTTGCTAGGAGGCTATTGTTACGAGCTAGCTGTCTTAGCTAACAACAGTTAGCAGCTAACGTTTTCTGCAGTTTGTGTTGCCCCTGAAAAACGTGATGAAGTTATTTAAGGGTATGTTACATTAACGTTATTTTACAAGTTGAGAGAGTTAAGTTGTGTTTAAAATCGTCAATGTAATGCACGTTAGAGGTTTTTAGTTGGACATGAAGTTAGCTAACGTTAGCTAACGCTACCCGTTTAGCATGTTAAGCTGTACTTTTTGTGGCAGCTAGCTTAATACAAAGAGGGGTTTTGTGCTTCTTTGCAAACTTTTCTTTGTTAATCTACCTGAAACTGTAGGGACAGTTTGTTTCTACTCAACTATACAGACCATTGTTGAGGAGATGCAAAACATACTGTACATGAGTTGGGTCCAACATATATCTTGAGTAATGTTACTTTGCTGCTAAAAATGAAACATCATTATCAGATGAGGACATCACCAAAGTGTGTGAGCCTGTCAGGGGATTTGATCTGTTCTCTGCATGTCGTAAACACTGCTCTGGTATTACTTATCTTGTAACATGTAAGTATCTCGCTCTTGTCATCGTTCAGGCTTTGCATTTGAACTCCTATGACTGGTTGCGGACTTGAAGGGAACGTCTTCCTGACATCCAGGAAAAAGGTGAGATTATAATACATTTCAATGCCAAAAGCAAGTTATTGTTTTTAACTTTTTTAATATGATTGTTTTGGGTCATTTCAGTTGTATTGGACAGAGGCTGTAGATATCTACTGGAAACAGTGGAGAGGGAGGAGATGATATGCAGCAAAAGGCCCAGCCGGATGGTTGCTGCTCCGTGTGGAACGTGTTCTATCAGGTAAAGGACTTTGGTACCCAGTTATTTATGGTGTTGAGTTTGAATTTAGCTTTTGGAATGTAATTTCCAACACTGCATTGTAAAGACTGAAAAAACAGCCTCAGGTTAAAGCTTGACATGATTTCGTCTTTTACTTAAGAAGATGTTTGTCTTTCTGTGTTGTCTTATTTCCTTATCTTTCTTTCAGGTGTAACATCTACCAATGGTTGTACATGACAGAGACCTCCTCCACCTCTTTGCTGTCTTACTAGTCAATCCTTCTGATCATGTCCTTTCCTAAATAGTGGTAAGTGTGCATCTGGACCCGGTGACGACATTACCTATTGACGCAGCAACCACTGTAAGTTATATTCTTGTTTAATTAGACTTCTCTGTTTCATTTATTCGACTCTGTATAAATTGTTTTTGTAGCTTAAACGGCTAAATCGCGTTTGAGAGATTTTAAATCTCAGATCTGCTCAGGCGAAACCTGCTTTACAGGTCTCAGCACTCAAGCCTGCATTAATATAGGCACGGCCAGTCTATTGTCGCCCATCAGCTGTAGATAGTTAACTAATTAGAGGGCCGTGGCCCTACAGCTATGAGAACTGAGCAATCAGGCGTCCATTTCGGGTAGCTCTTTCCTGGAGCGTCAGCTTCAGCGTCAGACAGCCGAAGACTGACAAAGACATTGGAGTCCTGCGGGAGTCTCTAAGACTGGCAAAGACATTGGAGTCCTGCGGGAGTCTCTAAGACTGACAAAGACATTGGAGTCCTGCGGGAGTCACGAGGGAGGCAAAGAGGAGGCAAATCCTACTCTGATTGAGCTGGTGTCTTATTTCTCTTTTCTTTAGTTTTCTAGCCCCTCATGCTATAATCATGTGTATTTTCTCCATTCCTGTTCATGTGTCTTCTCGCAATTATCACTGGCCCCGTGTATCTCCTAATCGATATAACCGGCCTGCTCTCGTCTATCCCACGTGCTCCACTGAGATCCAACATCTAGTTTCTGGTGGCCTGTGGAATTGCCAGTCAGCTGTTCCTAAGGCTGACTTCATCTCTGGCTACGCCTCCCTGCAGTCTCTGGATTTCCTTGCTCTCACTGAGACCTGGATTACTCCATCCAACACATCCACCCCAGCAGCTCTCTCCACTGCATATTCCTTCTCCCATACACCCAGACCCACTGGCAGAGGAGGTGGCACTGGTCTCCTGCTCTCTCCCAAAAGGAGCTTTTCCCTCTTCAAGCTACCTAACTTCACTCCTTCCACCTTTGAATTCCATGCCGTCACAGTAACCCATCCTATACAGTTAACCATTGTTGTTCTCTACCGTCCACCAGGCGCCTTGGGGGACTTCTTGGAGGAATTAGATAATCTCCTCTCACTCATCCCTGAAACTGGCCCTCCCGCTGTACTTCTCGGAGACTTCAACCTCCAGACGGGGAAGATAGACGAACTAACATCTCTGTTAACCGCCTTTGCTTTCTCACTGTCTCCGTCCCCACCGACTCATAAAGCTGGCAATGTCCTTGATCTCATATTCTCAAGGAACTGCGCTACTTCTAACCTCTCTGTAAACCCGCTCCACACATCCGATCACTTCTTCATTTCATTCTCTCTATCCCTTTCCAAACATAACAAACTAATCTCTTCCCATCCTGCACTTGTCCGCCGTAACCTTCGCTCCCTCTCCCCCTCTACCTTTGCCTCGTCGGTGCTCTCAGCCCTCCCTTCCTCTGATTCGTTCCAACTCCTGCCTCCAAACTCTGCTGCAGAAACTCTCCTCTCTACTCTCTCATCCACTCTGGACTCGCTCTGTCCTCTCACATCTCGGCAGGCTCGTCAGTCCCCTCCTGCTCCCTGGCTAAATGATGCACTGCGTGCTAATAGAACCGTCCTTAGGGCAGCAGAGCGGAAATGGTGGAAATCCAAACACCGTGACGACCTCCTAACCTATCAAGCTCTCCTCTCCTCTTTCTCTGCTTCGATCTCTCAGGCAAAAAGCACTTTCTTTCAAGATAAGATCCAATCTTCCTATTCCAATCCTAAAAAACTATTTTCCATCTTCTCCACCCTCTTGGACCCTCCAAAAGCTCCTCCCCCCTCCTCACGTCTGTCAAGCGACTTTGTTACCCACTTTGAAAAAAAGGTTGATGATATTCGCTCTTCTTTTTCTGACTCACCTTTACTCACCGCTGGATCACCAGACCCTCCTTCCACCAACACACTTACCTCCTTTTCCCCTCTTTCTCCAAGTGAGGTTCTTACCCTCATTACCTCTGCCCGCCCTACCACCTGTCCTCTGGACCCTATCCCTTCAAACCTCCTTCAGACTATCGCTCCTGATATTCTACCGTTTCTCACCCATTTCATCAACACTTCTCTAACTTCTGGTCACTTTCCAAACAGTCTCAAGGAGGCAAGAGTAAACCCTCTCCTAAAGAAACCCACTCTCAACCCGTCTGATGTTATAAACTACAGGCCTGTCTCTCTCCTCCCGTTCCTGTCTAAATCACTTGAACGCGCTGTCTTTAAACAACTCTCCTGTTATCTCAATCAGAACAACCTTCTGGATCCGCACCAGTCTGGTTTCAAGGCAGGTCACTCCACAGAAACTGCTCTCATTGCTGTCACGGAGGAACTGCACACTGCCAAAACTGCATCCCTCTCCTCTGTCATCATCCTGTTGGACCTGTCTGCTGCATTCGACACGGTGAATCATCAGATCCTCCTTCGCACTCTCCAAAAACTTGGAGTTTCAGGCTCTGCACTTTCCCTCCTCACCTCATACCTGAAAGACCGTACCTACAGGGTGACTTGGAGAGGGTCTGAGTCCGACCCTTGTCAATTAACTACGGGGTCCCTCAGGGCTCTGTTCTTGGTCCCCTCCTCTTCTCCCTGTACACAAACTCGCTCGGATCAGTCATTAGCCTGCATGGTTTTTCTTACCACTGCTACGCTGATGACACCCAATTAATTCTGTCCTTTCCCCGCTCAGAGACCCAGGTCGTTGCACGCATCTCTGCTTGTCTAGCTGACATCTCTCAGTGGATGTCTGCTCACCACCTCAAGCTCAACCTTGACAAGACTGAGCTGCTCTTCCTCCCGGGAAAAGATTGTCCCACTCTTGACCTAACAATCAACATCGGCACCTCAGTTGTTTCCCCGACTCAGACTGCAAGGAATCTGGGTGTGACCCTAGATAACAACCTGTCCTTCACTGCAAACATCGCTGCTACAACCCGTTGCTGCAGATACACGCTTTACAACATCAGGAAGATACGTCCCCAGCTGACTCAGAAAGCGACTCAGGTTCTGGTCCAGGCTCTCGTCATCTCACGCCTAGACTACTGCAACTCCCTCCTGGCTGGTCTACCTGCATGTGCCATCCGACCTCTGCAGCTCATCCAGAATGCAGCGGCTCGTCTGGTCTTCAACCTTCCTAAATTCTCCCACACCACTCCGCTCCTCCGCTCCCTTCACTGGCTTCCGGTAACTGCTAGAATCCACTTCAAGACACTGGTACTTGCTTACCATGCTGCGAATGGATCTGGCCCTTCCTACATCCAGGACATGGTTAAACCGTACACCCCAGCGCGTGCACTACGCTCTGCATCAGCCAAACGACTCGTTGCGCCCTCGCTGCGAGGGGGACCCAAGTTCCCATCGGCGAAAACACGTGGGTTTGCTGTCCTGGCTCCAAGATGGTGGAATGAGCTCCCCATTGACATCAGGACGGCAGATAGCTTGCACATCTTCCGGCGCAAACTGAAAACTCATCTCTTTCGACTCCACTTCGAGCGTTAGAACTATTAACGAAGCACTTTTATACTAATAAAGGACTGGCTTACCTAAAGCCAGTTGAGTAGCACTTGAAATGTTTGGCTCTATGAAACCTGATGTACTTATATGATTCTGTTTTCTTCAAGGTTGTGTCTTCCTGGTCGAATGTACTTATTGTAAGTCGCTTTGGATAAAAGCGTCAGCTAAATGCAATGTAATGTAATGTAATGTAAGTTTTACAGTTCAGTGTACGTTAATCTAGCAATTTAATGCTTTACCGCTGTTGAATAAATCCTATATTGCTAGTCATTTTATTAAAACTACGATTTGTAAACTTTTTGATTCCAATTACAATAATCTTTTTGTTATAATTGTAAAACATATCTTAACATCCATCAGCAATCAATACAACAAATCATCCAACACTAAATAGAATAAATCTGGACCTATTTCTTTTTATACAGCAGCATGTTTTGGGACTGCTCATTGATGTCATCAAGAGCCATTGAGTCTTGCTTTTGTAGTCGGCCTCTTAGAATGTTTATCATGTATTTGTATCTTAACATTCCTATAATAATTAGTTTTTTTATTGTTGATATTGTTTTGTTCTTTATTTTTGTTGTGAGAATCACTTTGCAATTATTGTGTAAGTGCTATATAAATAGTTATACTAATATTATTGTTGTTACCATCATTACTATTATTAATAATGTCTTCTTTGTTTTCTTTATTCATCGCTGCAGAAAGGATCATGCCAGCCCACATCAAACACCTGATCAAGAACTTGTGAACCTCACTGCTGCGGACACCTGTGTGATATTCCACTCTGACTGGAACCCTCAAAATGACCTGCAGGTACGATATATATATATATATCTGCTCTGTCTGTCCTAAAGATAGTTCAATAGGGCTACAACAACAACAACAACAACAACAGTCTTTCCGTTTATTCCCTCGGTTCTTTAAGTGTATATTTTCCCATTTAATGCTTAAAAACGTTGAACAGCAGCTGCACATGATGCTCTTTTGACCCCTCTTTTAATTTTTTATTTCAGGCTCAAGCTCGGTGTCATCGTTTTGGCCAGTCTAAGGCGGTGAAGGTGTACCGTCTGATCACTAGAAACTATGAGAGGGAAATGCTGGATAAAGCTAGTCTGAAGGTCGGGCTGGACCGTCCCGTCCTGCAGAGATGAGTGGCAACAACAACGGGGTGAGAAAAAGAAAATCTGTCATATTTCTAGATTCCAAGTCATTTTTGGGTCAGTCGCTGTTGCAGTACGCTTAGTTTATTTTCGAAAAGAGTTTTCTAAATCCACTTGTGTAAATGTCTCTCTGCGTCGCCTTTAGCCGGTCCAGCAGTTCTCCAAGAAGGAGATCGAGGACCTGCTGAGGAAAGGAGCCTACGCCGCCATCATGGACGAGAACGACGAAGGCAATCGCTTCTGCTAGGAGGACATCGACCAGATCCTGCAGCGAAGAGCCACCATCATCACCATCACCAGGTATGTTCTTAGCAGCATGAGCCACTTGCTCTTTGTGAGACACATTATTTGAAATGTAATATTGATGATGTAATAATTAAAACTAGGGATGGGTACCGAGCCCTGGTATTAAACGGGCCCCGGGGCTGAATTATTAAAGGCTGTGGTACCGTTAAGGTCCAACGTTAGCGATCTTTTTATCGGTACTGGAGAAATTTAAAAAATAGATGTAATATGTATTATATCTACATAAACATTATATCGCAGTCTTACTGTCGCCAACTCCGTTTCTAATATGCAATAAGACTACAAAATGCATCTATGATTTATTTTCGATCTTTCCAATCCAGACGAGATCTCTCTCCCCGGTCGGTGTGCGAGGGGGTGGGGCAGTTTACACACACAACCTGCTACATGCATGCATGCAACACACACACACACACACACACACACACACACACACACACACACACGCATACAAACACACACACACACACACACACATGGCAGAGAGAACTAAGCGCCCCGAGGGTAGTTATGTTACCCGTCTTGAGCACGGATGTTTAATAAGAACTGGATACAGCGTCGGAGGAGGAGGGGTCTCGTTCTTTCCTATGAGAGCTGCTCATTGGCGCATTAAGTCAAAATGGCCCAACTTTTGAGAGAGCGAAACGTCAGATTACCCGTCATGCCTGGCTGTCAGAGCAGAAGAACCCGTTTGTGCGCTCACAGAGCATGCGCCCCTTAAGCCCCGCCCCCCGAGCACCCACTCTCGGCTCACTAGAAAGAATGGAGAGAGAAAATAAATCTAGATTCGGCTTTTAGTGCATTTTACAACTTTAAGGACCGAATGTTTCTAATAAGGGCTATAAAATAGTCCATACTGGGTAGTTTATTTCGTTTCAAAAAAATTATCCACCGATTTACAGACGTCTCTTTCCCAATGTTAGTCTATGGGAAAAAGTTTTTCTGGGCCGGTCGACGTCACAGACTGATAAGGAAATTGTAGTACCACCGTTTGGACACAATGAATATTTTCCTCAGAGTCCGGCGCACTTCCTGGGGGCTTGGTCTTGAGGTGGAAAATGCTTGTTGCCAAAAGTGCAATAAGAGTTTAGCATGTAAGGGCGGTAACACGAGCAATTTGTCTAAACATTTAGCAAAAGTACACCACATTCAGACGGAGGAATGCACCGGGTTCCACTGTCTTTCTATCTTTCTAGTAGCTCTGTCCCCCATCCATGAGTAACGTTTCCACGTCAGGTGTTATGTATGCTAGCAGCAACACACAGAGTTAACTCAATTATACAAACATGGGTTAATGATTAGAGGTAACTGAGTTATTTATTTTGTTAAAGTTTCAGCTATTCTGTTTGCAGTTATATCATCACATAATTTAATACGATTTGTTAAAACATTGTTGTTTCTTATTTTCAGTTTGCTTCAAGCAGTGGCTGTACGAGAAAGACGTGGAGGACCAAGAAATGCTGGCCAGATTTGCAAAGACCGGAAGATACATAACAGAGAAGATAATGGATATTAACAAGAAAAAGAAAACAAATGTTTATAATTTCTTTGTTGCTGTTTACATTTTGAATTATATTTGTTATTTTTAAATCATTAAATCAAATGCATCTATTTTAGATGATGTATTTATTTAGATGTAGGTTTTTTTTGTAATATAATTTTTTTGTAATATAATTTATTAAATAAAAATACTGTTATGAACACTATACAATGTCTTTATTTTGATAGTTACCAGAATACATTGTATATTTAATAATAACATAAGCTGGTGATAAATAAATGCTGGTCTGCTGGTATGCCAGCAGACAAATATTTATAAAGAAAGAAACAGAAGGGAGGAAATGATGATAGCTAGACTCAGAATAAATCACATGCTGCATGTCATGGGGAAAAGTAACAGTGACAAGTGTAGGAACTGTGGAGTTAAAGAAGATGTAGAACATATCTTGTTACATTGTGACATCTATAAAGCTGAAAGAGAACAACTAAAGGATAACGTTTTAGAGGCAGAGAGGGAATGGAGTGTGGTTGGTATTTTGGGAACAAAAGGAGAGGGAGAAAGAGCTACCAGAAAGGCACTGTTTACCTTTGGTGAAACTGGGGTAGGTACAATTATCTAACATTAGATTATGTTTTGTTTTATTTATTTTTATTATTATTTTATTTCGACCGATCTCCTCTGAATTGTGCGGGATGACACACCAAACAGATCCGCGATTTCTCGGGTTGATAGACCGGACAACACATAGGTAGCGAGCATATCGCCTGGAATATCCAGAGGCGGGCGTCCTGCACCTGTGCTTGAACCAACTTCTTAGACATCTTCCACACGAACACGGTGCTCAATCAGTGTCAAAGTATTTACAACTTCGTCATCCGTGTCGATATCTCGAAGAGCGCTTATCCGCCCGAGTACTTCGATAAAGTCTTCAATATGGGCCAAAATAGTGTCTGTTGGTAAACCGTGTTGATCAATTTGATCTGCTAAGGATAGCATAGCATCTTGGAGCCCACCGACGTCTTCCATGTTGTCTGTCCCGCCTTATTTTCATTTAGTAGTTTGCCTTATTTTTATTCAGTAGTACTTCTCCTCCATTTTCTTCCTCTTCTCGAGTAGTCAGTGTGGTGCTGTTGCTTTGGTCTGGGTCTCTGGATCTGTGAGCTAACCACGCCCCGTTCATTTGCATATAAGGAATGGAAATGTGGCATTATGAAATACAAGTCCCCTGAAATAAATAAATGTGTCATTATGAAATACAAGTCTCTTGAAATAAATAAATGTGTCATTATGAAATAAAAGTCCCATGAAATAAATAAATGTGTATTTAAATGTACATGTATACATATTTATTGCCTCATTTATTTATTTCAGAATTTATTTCATAGGCATATTTATATATATATGTATTTATTTCATATTTATGTATTTATTTAATTTTGGCTTATATGGCATTCCATATCTAAGGGACATTTCGAGCGATACACACCACAAACCACCCATAACAGATTACCCAAGATCCTCAGCTTGAAGCTCGTTGATTGGATATTTTAGCCGCAATGCATGTTGGGATATGATGTTAATACGATATGATATCCGAAAACATTTAAAAAAAAAAAAAATAATACTTTATTCCGAGTGTTCTTGCTTTTCTCTTTGGAAGTCATCACATAACTGCATTGTAATACACGGTTCGGCTGCATTACATATTACACATCTGCCGTAATTCTCTATTTATAGAGCCCTGATGAGAAGACTTCTAGACAAACAGGAGAACTGCCGCCAAAACTGAATATGTGAAGTGGATCATAAATATATCAACAATTAAACAACATCTTGCATTTCTCTTCACACAATACGTCTCCTTGCAGTATCAATAGTAATTCGGCTGCCTTTTATATTTGATCCAATTGGTAGATAGGCTGTATTTACACCATAACGGTGCACAGCTGATAGAAAAGGACTTGTAGTTTTTAAAGATATTACTGATTTTCTTTGAATATAAGAATGTAAATACTGAGTTGAGAGAATAGTCAGGGGATTTGGGTGATGGAAGACACATCTATGGAATCACAATTTCAATAGCTTACCATTAAATGACGGATATACCTTTCTGTCTGTGATGTTTTACAAATCAGATATTAATGTGTAGGTAAAACATGAGAAATAGTATAGCAATATCCTGTAAAATTATGTAAAAACATGAATAAAACTACATATCTTCAGATCTTATTAGTGTCCTACACTAATAATACAAAGTTAATATTAGTATGCTGTGTGTACCTTGTGCCTAGTGGTTAAAGCATGTTATTGAATTATTTTTGTTGAATAATGTTATTTGATGAAACAAATATTAAGAGTACATACTTTCATAGGGGGAAAGTAGAAGGTCAATGATAGAAATATAGAATATAAAAAATCAGGAAGATACTGTAAGTGATCTCTACAATAAAACAGTTTAGTGCCGGATGTACAAAGATATTAATATGAGGATGTGTAAAACAGACAAACTAATTAACCTTTATTAACACATTTAAGAATACTTTAGGTTAAGGTCTTCTTTTAAATAAGAAAAAAGCTTTGGGGGTATCTATCGACAGATATATATATTAAGCCTGACAAAGTACTTAACGTCTAATCTATTGCTTTCCTGCAATGTTAACTATGTTGAAGCACTTATTTTAACTGATATTATACACTTTAATTATACTCTTATGTATGTAGATAGAAATGTGCAGCATTTGACAGTTTAATGGTGGAGGTATACACACATATTGATAGATGTCTTGTAATGCACTGTTGCATAACTACACTGTAGTTGTGTATATGATATGTCAATAAACCTTAGGAAATCTTGAAAGGGATGTGAAAAATAGCAATTATATACAGTTTTTAATTAACTATTAGTAGAGAATAACGAGTAATTAATATACTTTATAGAGATCTGCAGATAAATGTTTAGTCTTCTCAAGCACCACCTATCAAATATCTCTCCTGATTGTTGGCACTTGACAATCACCTTTCCCTGAATTTTACTCAGGTGTAACTAAAGTCTGCTTTAAGGGTTGTTTATATTTCACATCATTAATCAGAATCTGCAAAGTAACTAAAATAAATGTAGTGGAGTAAAAATACCAGGTTAACCTCTGAATTGTAGTGGAGTAGAATTACAAAGTAACAATGAGCTGTCATGTGGGTATATATTAATGCTGCCCATTATGGATACAAGCGATTTTCACCCATTTAGTAATTACATGTTTTACATTTGTACACACCAATGTGTTTCCTATCGCCTAAACCTCCAGGGCTGTACACAGTTTAATACTGTCAACTTATAATTTTGGGAAAAACAAAAACGTCTTTTAAAACTACAATTCCCAGTAGAGACGTGCCATAGAGAACATGTTGCGAAACACAATAGCCAGCATGTGTAGTTCTGGGGGGACGTTCGAGTCCAGTTTTGAATAGTCTGCCGTGGTTTCGTTCCATTTCAAAGAGCTTGACGCTCGGCGTAACCTTGGCGCACTGCCACTCCAACATCCAATCCCAGAGCTTGAAGATTAATCACAGGGGTTGTCAACGGGACTGTAGTCCCAAACGATAGCTGGGGATTATGGGTAGTGTAGTGTCTTCGGCCATCCTAAACTGAATTTTTTTTTCGGATATCATATCGCATTAACAACACCACATCTGGCGTCACAGAGATCTTCTGTTCTCATTCATAACACTCCGTTCGATGTCTCACTATGGGATGCGCCTCATCGCGGAGCAAACAGAAGCATCAATCTCATTACGCCAATCCTGATTGGCTGGTGATCTTGACGTCAGCGTCAGGGAATCACCCCCTATAAGTAGCTTGCGCCACGACGCATGCATCATTCAAACACCTCTTCTCGCTTCAGAGCACATCTCTATAGTAGCCGGACAAGCTTAACGGTCCACAGACTGAACCCAAATATAACCATTTCGGTCGACGGGCGCTCGCCGGCTACTCCTTCTGCTTCGCAAGAAGACGGTAATACTAACGCCAGTTAGTATTAAAATCGACCTCGCCGTTCTTTCCCCGGAAAGTAAGGTAAGGTTTTGATTTTTCTCAAGCTAGCTACGCACCCGTTGCTAGCTAGCTTCCCCTTACTACCGACACCACGGTAACGAGGACGCTTTTCTTTTTCTCTCTCACGGAGGAGAAAAGGATTAGAAGTATATTGACACACCAGTCAATATTCTTTGAGAACAAAGGACCCACACCGTCCCCTTTTTCTCCGGATTAAGGACGGGTTGGTAACACTTTTTCTCTCAACGACGTACCTGTTACGAGCGGGTCCTCTCCACGCCACGAGGCGAACAAGATGGACGCCTCTCCCCCTCACACCAGAGGAGTCAGGGACTCGAAGGCTCGGTCATGCGGCTGCGGGTTGAAGATAGCAGGCACAGACTCACACCAGGTCTGCCCGTCCTGCCTCGGGCTGAAACACGCCCAGGAGGCTATCGACAACCCCGGCTCGTGCGGGCATTGCGCCCTTTTCACCCGAAAGAGCCTCCACCGACGGCTAGCACACCAAGCTAGCTTGTTGGAACAGGACTCCCTCATGTCCACTGATTCGCCGTTTGGCAATCAAGACACGGGGACGTCTGCTGCAGAGACTGAGCCCCTCACTATGTCGGTCTGGGGCTCACTAACAGCGGCAGCTGCGGAACCGGGATCCCACGCCGTGTCAGGCCGGGACCCGGTGGTGGCAAGAGACGCAGGAACGGAGCCCCACGCCTCACCAGGCGGGAGCTCCCGGCGAGACCTCACCATGGTCTCACCCGCGGGGAATGTCCTGGAATTAGACTACATGGGGGACAAAGAGGACACCTCTGAGTCCCTCCTGTCTGATTCGGATGAGCAAGAAGAATATATCTTCATGTCATCGGCTCAAACGGCAAAGCCGGGAGCGATGGCTGCTCTCCCGGGCGATAGCACACCAGCTTCGCCCTGTCTGAGCAGGGACCTGCAGGCCGCGTGTCAGCGCGCTGCGTCCAGGCTAGACATCCCGTGGCCCGAAAGGGCCAAGGAGACCGCC